AAATTTTTTTTATTTTTGACAAAGTCGTATTATGCAACTTACTTTGTGTGTGGATGTCCTAAATGCAATCTATTTGTTTATTCATTTTTGATGCATTTAGAAAGTAACTGGCCTTCTCCCGTTGACTTCTTATGAATATGTCGATGGGCTCTTCTTTTAAGATCATGATGATGGGCTCCTCTTTTATTCATCTCTTGGTTTTAGCCCTATCTTTTTCCTAGACCGCCCTTTACGGGTTTTCGATCTAGCGAGCTGCCTTAATTTTTGCCTAGAATATCTTAGGGGGCTTTTGCCTTATCTTTTGCCTAGATCGTTCTTTTGGGGTTTCCGATCTAGTAGGCTACCCTAATTTTTACCTAAGAATATCCTAGCAGGCACTTATTCTTTTATTATTTTTATGCTTCCTCTTTTTAGATGCATGCTTGATCTTTGATTAAAAGTCTTTGCGCATATTTATGATTTATCAATAAAGAGGCATTTCCATAATATTTGGTCAAGAGAAAGGAAATGAAAAGGAATTTTTATTGATAAATGAGCAAAAGTTATTTCTTTTATAGAAGGATTTCAAAAGGTATTTAGAAGAATGGGTGGTCAGGGTTGGCTATACTGTATAGGCTTAAACAGTCATGTCCATGATATCTGCCCCCTGGTTCTCCTAATTGCTTCAGTTGATATGCCTGAACTCAGAGTGAAGACTATGCAGACTGCTTGCTTCTGGAAGAATGTTACTTTAGCCGCCTTTTCGGTTTTCGACTAAAGTAACCATTGCTCTTAGTTTCTTTTTTTTTATTTTTTTTTTTTTGCCTCTACTTTTTGCCTAGGACGTATCCTAGCGAGGGATATAGACCCTATCTTTTGCCCAGGGATGCCCTTTGCGGGTTTTCATTCCTGACGGGTCATGAGCAATGTCTTCAAGCATAATACTTCTTCACCGCATCAGAATTGATCGGGTGTCGAAGTTCCTCTCCATCCATATTAGTGAGGATAAGTGCCCCTCCTGAGAAAGCTCGTTTGACCACAAAGGGTCCTTCGTAATTTGCTGCCCACTTTCCAATTTTATCCTTCTGGGCTGGAAGCAATTTCTTTATCACTAGATCCCCTTCTTGATAAGTATGAGGGTGGACCTTTTTATCATAAGCCTTTTTGATCTTCTTTTGATAGGCTTGTCCATGACATATAGCGTTCAGCCGCTTTTCATCGATAAGGTTTAATTGATCATATCGACTTTGAACCCATTCAGCTTCTGTTAATTTTGCTTCCATTATAATTCGCAGGGAAGGTATTTCGACCTCTATTGGCAAAACGGCCTCCATTCCATATACAAGGGAGAATGGAGTGGCTCCTGTTGAGGTTCGTACAGACGTTCGATAACCGTGAAGAGCAAAAGGCAACATTTCATGCCAATCCCTATAGGTTTTAACCATCTTTTGAACAATCTTCTTGATGTTTTTATTGGCTGCTTCCACTGCGCCATTCATTTTGGGCCGGTAGGGAGAGGAATTATGGTGTTGAATTTTGAAATCTTGACATAATTCCTTCATCATCTTGTTATTCAAGTTGGTTCCATTATCAGTAATAAGACGATGTGGGATGCCATATCGACATATGATATTTTTCTTAACAAAGGTGACCACTACTTTTTTAGTCACATGTGCATAAGATGCAGCTTCTACCCACTTAGTGAAGTAGTCGATAGCCACCAGAATGAATCGATGGCCATTGGATGCCTTAGGCTCAATAGGTCTGATAACATCCATGCCCCACATAGCAAATGTCCAAGGGATAGCCATAACATTAAGTGGTACCGGTGGAACATGTACATTGTCCGCATGTACCTGACATTTTTGACATTTTCTAGCATACTGATGACAGTCCTTTTCCATTGTGGACCAAAAGTATCCTGCTCTGAGGATTTTCCTAGCCATGATATGCCCTGGTGCATGAGTCCCGAAGGTTCCTTCATGTATTTCTTTAATCAATTTCTGTGCTTCTTCAAGATTTACGCATCTTAACAAAGTGGAATCAAAATTCTTTTTATAAAGGGTTTCTCCTATCAACATAAACCCTATGGCCCTTTTCCGAATGATCCTTTTGTCATTGTCACTGATTCCCTCGGGGTATTCACCCTTTATCAAGTATCGCCTTATGTCATGATACCAAGGGGTTTTATCTTTTTCATTGTCCGTCATCATACAAAAGGCTTGTTTATTGTGCCTTTTGATTTGGATGATGGGCATCTCATGTTCTTGTGCTAATGCGAACATGGATGATAATGTTGCCAGTGCATCTGCAATCTGGTTGTCTTCCCGAGGGATGTACTCGAAACTGATGTTTTCCATTTCTGTAGTCATATTACGGATGTGCTCCAGATAAGGGATTAATTTGGAATTTCTAGTTTCCCATTCACCCTTGAGTTGGTAAATAACAAGGGATGAGTCACCGAATACTTTGAGTCTAGTCACCCCATGATCCAGAGCTGCTTGAATACCTAGAGCACAGGCTTCGTATTCCGCCATATTGTTTGTGCAATCAAAGTTTAATCTGGCTGTTACTGGGATATACTTCTTTTCGGGAGATATTAAAATAGCTCCAACCCCATGTCCCAATAAGTTTGAAGCTCCATCGAAAAACATGATCCACTTATTATTTTCAAGGTCTTCATGTTGGATGTGCATTATGTGCTCATCTGGAAAATCATCTTGGAGGGATTGATATTCGTCAGTTGGCCCATGTGCTAGGTAGTCTACTAAAGGACTGCCTTTGATAGCTTTCTGAGTGACATGAACAATGTTGAATTCTGAGAGGAGTACTTGCCACCTGGCTATCCTTCTGGTCAAGACGGGTTTTTTAAACAGGTATTTGATTGGGTCCATTTTAGAAATCAACCAGGTTGTGTGTCTAACCATATATTGTCGAAGGCGCTGAGTTGCCCACACCAATGCACAACATGTTTTTTCGAGTGGTGTATAACGGGTCTCATAGTTTAGAAATTTCTTACTGAGGTAATATATGGCTTGTTCTTTCTTACCCGCATCATCTTGTTGACCGAGCACACATCCCATGGACTCGTCGAGTACTGAAAGGTAAAGAATCAAGGGCTTTCCTTCCACAGGTGGTACCAATACTGGTGGATTGGTTAGGCACGTTTTGATTTTTTCGAAAGCTTGTTGACATTCATCATTCCAAACTTTCGGTTGGCTTTTATGCAATAACTTGAATATGGGCGTGCACTTGTCTGTCAATTGCGCGATGAACCGTGCAATGTAGTTTATTCGGCCCAAGAACCCTCTGACTTCTTTTTCTGTTCTTGGTGAGGGCATTTCTACGATTGCCTTTTTTTTATCAGGGTCTACTTCAATTCCTTTTTTACTGACAATAAACCCAAGGAGTTTTCCTGATCCTACTTCGAATGTGCATTTAGCCGGATTGAGCTTGATCTGGTATTTCCGAAGCCGATTGAATAACTTCTGTAAGTATTGGAGGTGATCTATCTCGTTTTTGGACTTGGCGATCATATCATCCACATATACTTCGATTTCTTTGTGGATCATATCATGAAATAATGTCACCATGGCCCTTTGATAAGTAGCCCCTGCATTCTTAAGTCCAAAAGGCATTACTCTATAACGAGAATGTACCCCATGGCGTAATGAAAGAAGTTTTTCTCTATCTTCAACAACCAATTTAATTTGGTTATACCTGCATATCCATCCATGAAAGAATAGAGAGTATTTGTAGCGGTATGATCTACCAGCATATCAATATGTGGTAAGGGAAAATCATCTTTTGGACTTGCACGATTTAAGTCCCTGTAATCTACGCATACTCTGATTTTTTCATTTTTCTTTATAACTGGCACGATGTTTGCCAACCATTCAGGGTATTTTGACACGATTAGAAAATTGGCATCCAACTGTTTTTCTACTTCTTCCTTAATTTTTAAGGACCATTCTGGCTTTACTCTTCGAGCTTACGCTTAACGAGCCGAAATCCCTCTTTTAGTGGTAATCTATGCTCCACTATACTTTCATCAATTCCAGGCATATCATGGTAGGACCAAGCGAATACATCCACATATTCTCTTAGCAACTGTATCAGCCTTTCCCTGACATCATCATCAATTTGGGTACCAATATTTACTTCTTTCTTATTATCTTCTTGTCCCAAGTTGATGGCCTCAGTTTTCTCTTGATGGGGCTGTATTGATTGAGCTTCTTTTTCTAACAATCTTTGCATGTCCGGGGAAATGGTCCCCTCCTCACTGTCTGACTCAATCCATTCGCCTTCGGCTTTCGGATCTTCCAGAGAGTTTTCAATCACAGACATGACTGTATGGTTATGCTTTGTTTTAGATTTCTTTATTAAATGTGTGAGAGGGAAAAGAATGACAAAGAATATGAATATTATGAATAATGCCTCGTTGTATTGATAGAAAGAAATATTTACAAAGCCGATATTAATCAAAAATCTCGTGATCGTGAGCGAGGATCACGAGAGATACATCGGAAGCTTTTTGATATATTTTTTATTGTATATATTTTTTTTGTATTTATTTTTTATTAGATGACAAAAATGATGAGCCCTAAATTGCTGATCTTCCTTAGCCCAACCTTCATTCGGGTTTGGAAAGAGGCCGATCATCTACTTTTGGAGTAGAGGCGTCAAAGGTGATCCATCCTGCATCTATTAAATCTTGGACCTTATGTTTTAAGGCCATGCAGTTATCCACGGAGTGTCCCGGAGCATCCGAATGATAGTTGCATTTTTCGCTCGGCTTATACCATTCTGGACATGGTGGCTCCATTTTCTTGGGAGGGATGCGCACAAGGAGTTTAGCATCCAACAATTTTAATAGAAGACTTCCATAGGAGGTAGGTATTGGAGTGAATTTCCTTTCCGGTTTGCGTGACTTGGTCTACTGTGAGGAAGAAGAAGGAGTGGCAATGTTGATTGCATTCACAATTCCTTCCTTCTTCTTTCCGAAGTTGCAACTTCACATTCTATCCTCCGGCGGGAAGTCTCAAAGCTCTTTTGCCAGCATTGAGGAACCTGAGAATTTTGATTGATTAAAGTAGTTATCCGATAGACGCAATTTGACAATTAGCGGAGGTGTCACCTTCTAAACCTACTTTTCTTGAGTCAATAGAGTACGACCTGGATCAACAAAACCCATCCCCGTCTGAGTAGATACTTCCTAAGAAGTTTTCAAAGCAAGGGAGGAATGAACTTCTAGCTTGATTACCGGGAACCCTCTCTTGATAGATGAAGAACCCCTGGCCAAGCGCTCGGAAAGTGCTCCTCCAGCTGTCTGTCCCGCAGAGAGGTAGTTAGAATAGACTCCGAGACAAGAAGCTGACAGAGAAGCAAGGGTCTTGAGGGGTGAGCCCTATGACTAAAGATACACGAGCTCCTCTACACCCATTTCCTCGGAAAGCCCTTTTGCCAGCTTAGCGTAGAGAGATAGCAAAATTAAAGGAAGAAGATATGGGTAGATCAAAGCCGGCTGAAGGCCTAGAATGGGATACGGGGACGAAAGCTCAGAGACCATTTGTTCAACTTCTCTACCAGAAGCGGAAGATGAACCCATATGTATTTAGTTCTAAACCACCTGATTGATATCATGGCGTAGATATAACATGATTTTATTTCTTAGCGGGAAGAGCCTCTCCAGCCTTAGGGGAGAACCAAAGACCCCTTTTCTCTTTCTCTACTTAGCCACGGGCAGAAGATCTCCTCCCTATAAAATAAAGAAGGGAGCACGGTCTTCATTCGAGAGAGCTTATTTTCAGTCTTTTCCCCGAATCAGCACGATGGTCATCTCCTTCCTACCTGACGAGCACATCAGACAATCGGCTCTTTCATGACTCCATAACAACTACCTTATCCATTTATCTCTTGTGAATGTGAAGGTCCCAAGAACTACCTTCGCTTTTCAAGCTGCAGCTATTGCTATTGTTGTGCTTGGGAATTGTTTGAGCTTATATCGATCGTTAGCTTCACGAATCTCCCCACGGTTTATCCTGCGATTTCTCTTTACTGAACCTGGCCAAAGGATTTCTTTTACAATGTATATGTCTTAGTTGACAAAGCTGTTTACGTAATAGGCTGCTGGCTAGAAAGATAGGAATTTGGAATGTTGAGATGACTGGTAAGTTTATCGAAACACTCGAGTAGATGCTTTCAACAAGCCCCGCTCACAGATAGCTAATGAGCTAGCTCTTTTAATTAATTAATTAATTAATTAAAAAGGAACCAACAATACTGGATGCGATGTTTGGAACAAAAAGACCACCAAAGGTTCCCGAAATGTTCGCAAATGACTTGTCATATGGCCGTACAGAAGAACACGCAGACATGGACAATTTCAAAAAAATGATTTATTAGACTCAGGTTCACTCCAAAAATGGAAGAGCTTAGCAAAGAAAGAAGAAAACGACCATGCTCGAAAACCACAGGTGGCGTGGAAGACAGGTTCCCGAACAGAATTAGTTGAAAGCGAAAATATAAAGTCCCAGAAAGAGAAAGAAAGGGTGAGGAAGGAAAAAGGGGCCCATCGACTGGATTACTAGACTGCCTTCCTTGCCTGCCTGCCATGGTACACTTCTAGTATGAGTGTACGGATCTATTCCACCAACATCAACTGAGGCAAGAGCGTCTTTCACAGCTGATTCAAGAACAACCATTCTTATTATTTATTTTATTCTCCCGGGATCAGAAAAGGCTAGGCACCAAGGCTACGAAACTAGGCTATGAAAGCAGAGAGAACTCAAACTCCTAAACTAAACCTAAGGCAGCTTTTCTCCTTATTATTAAAAAAAAAAAAGAAATAGCACCAGCCTAATCCAATCCAAGAATGTCGACTCTGATCTTTACTATTTTGCTATTCAAAGCAATCTGCCCAATGAGCTACGGGTATATGAGCTAAGGCCAGTGGATTCCTCTCTTTCTTTAAATTCCTTAATTAAAAAAGAAAAGAAGACAGGACAGACAAACTTGATCAATCAAGTCAACAAACTCAAAGCATGAGTTCTACCCTTTGATCTCTATTCGATATCTGATATCAGAAAGATACGCGGACGACTTTACCATAGTAAGTAAGTGTCGCCGCCGTCCCTTTCCGACGTCTGAGGACGTCTCGAACGTTTATGCGAGCGGTCGCGAAAAGATGGTTTAGACTCGCGTATTTGTTTTAAAATGTTTTCATTGCTTCCGAGGTACCTGACAATTGGATTATCCTCTAATAAAAGCAAGGTTTTCGAAAAGGGGTTCTTATGGAGTCGCCACCAATGTTTTGACCATAAACATTGGAAAAGGATAAAAGACATTGATTTTAATGAAAACCAAACTTGGCCATTATAACCAGAGTTAGGTAAGGGAGTTAGTTACGTGTGGGGAAGGTGTTAGCACCCCACAACGCCCCTTTCGGGTTCCCTATGACAAATCAATTCGTTTAAAGAAAAGACTTCGAGAAATTACGCGATTACCCTATTTTATTGCATAATATTGAAATGGCTATCTACATAATTTTATATAAATAAAGCTAAATAAAGCAATAAAAGAGATATTAAAATGGCTATCTACATGATTTTATTCTACATGACGTAATAAATAAAGCTAAATAAAACAATAAATAAAACAATAAAAGAGAAGGGAATTGAAAAGAACCTCCGTAGCAAGCTTTATATTGAGAATCTCGAAGCTGTGAGGATGCGTTTTGGCAACCCCTCTTTCTACACGAGACTCTCCTCACCAATACAAGATCGACTCCACTAAAAATTTAAAGAAGAATCAAATGCCGGAATATAATTCCTTAACCGATTGTTACCTATTTAAGGCAATCGGAAAGATCATTCGAGAGAGGGAGAGAAGTAGACAAGTGCTCCGAGTTTTCTAAGTGTTTCGAGCTCTCCGGAGTGTCTGTTCGTTCAAAAAGTGGCAAATGAGCCTCCTATTTATAGTTTTCGCAGTGGCGCGCTTTGGGACGGCCGTCCGGGTTGGGACGGCCGTCCGGACCGGGATGGCCGTCCCAAATGGCAATTTTACACGGGCGAGACCACACTGGGAACCCGGGACGGCCGTCCCACTTAAATTGGGCTTTGGGACGGCCGTCCGACCTTCGGGACGCGCGTCCCACTTGATTCTGGAAGGTTGGGACGGCCGTCCCAACTTTGGGACGGCCGTCTCGACCTGTTTTGTCCAGTTTTCGCGTTTCGGGACCCCGGGAAGCTTTCCTTTCCTGTTTCGGACGTCGGTTGATGCCGATAGGTGCCTGCTGAAGCTTTATCTTCATACAGGAAGTCTTCTTGGCTCTTATTTGTAATGCTTGGACGAGCTTTATCTTGTTATGGGTGATCTTTTTGTCTTTATTTGAGAAACCGGGCAAAATTAGGGGTCTACAGTTGCCCCCCTTCACTCGCCTAGCTAATTTATTGGCCTAATATGCCGATAAGATTAGGCTAGTAGGGGAAGGAGTTAACCCTTTTGCCTGGTTATCCTTCGAGATATTCCTTGGTCGATCTTCCGGATGATAAATATTTTTGATAGGTACCAACCCCTATCCGGTGTTTTGACGAGTATAATCCTTCGCCTGGTAATTCTATAAGGCCCGATGAGTACACACCCTCATCCGGTGTTTGACGAGTATAAACCCCCGCTCGGTAGACCCCCTTCCGTAAGGCCTGATGAGTACACACCCTCATCCGGTGTTTGACGAGTACGAACCCTCGATGCAGTAGACCCCCTTCGTAAGGCTCGATGAGTATACACCCCCATCCGGTGTTTGACGAGTACGAACCCTCCGTCTGGTAGACCCCTTCCATAAGGCTCGATGAGTATACACCCCCATCCGGTGTTTGACGAGTATGAACCCCCTGCCATGGTAGACCCTCTTCGTAAGGACTGATGAGTACACACCCCCATCCGGTGTTTGACGAGTACGAACCCTCTGTCATGGTAGACCCCTTCCGTAAGGCCTGATGAGTACACACCCCCATCCGGTGTTTGACGAGTACGAACCCTCCGTCCGGTAGACCCCCTTCGTAAGGTCGATGAGTATACACCCCCATCGGTGTTTGACGGTATGAACCCCTGCCATGGTAGACCCCTTCGTAAGGCTGATGAGCACACACCCTCATCCGGTGTTTGACGAGTACGAACCCTCTGTCATGGTAGACCCTCTTCGTAAGGCCTGATGAGTACACACCCCCATCCGGTGTTTGACGAGTACGAACCCTCTGTCATGGTAGACCCCCTTCGTAAGGCTCGATGAGTACACACCCCCATCCGGTGTTTGACGAGTACGAACCCTCTGTCATGGTAGACCCCCTTCGTAAGGCTCGATGAGTACACACCCCCATCCGGTGTTTGACGAGTACGAACCCTCTGTCATGGTAGACCCCTTCCGTAAGGCTCGATGAGTACACACCCCCATCCGGTGTTTGACGAGTACGAACCCTCTGTCTGGTAGACCCCCTTCGTAAGGCCCGATGAGTACACACCCCCATCTGGTGTTTGACGAGTACGAACCCCCTGTCATGGTAGACCCCCTTCCGTAAGGCCCGATGAGTACACACCCCCATCCGGTGTTTGACGAGTACGAACCCTCTGTCCGGTAGACCCCCTTCGTAAGGCCCGATGAGTACATACCCCCATCCGGTGTTTGAGTTTTACTTGTATGATGCTCCGGTGAGTACTTACCCTCACCTGGTATGAGTCGCATTTTGACCGACCGATGGGTACCTACTCCCACTGGTATGAATCGCATTTTGACAGATTCTTGGAATGCTCTTTTTGGTATATCCTTTTTGATTGATGAGTACGAACCCTCATCCGGTTTCGGCGACTTATGCGCCTATTCCATGAGGAATGATTGATTTTCTTTCTTTTTGACTTTTCTATTTTACTCATCCGGTTTTACGAGGATTCTTTGTTGGTTGCCTTTTAGGCAGGAATTTACTGGGGACTTTGATTGTGCCTTTTGATTAGGCAATTGCTTCAGCAATGGTGAAGACTTTTATGCTTTTGGGCTTGCATTACCTCTCGCATAGGTTGATTTCCCATTTCTCTGGGACATTAGCTCTTTGCTTATTTTTGAGCAAATAGATGTTCTGTTGTAGGCTCACCGGTGATAGTTTTTCTTTTGGATGATTCATTGAGAATTTGATTGCTCTACTCGAAATCTCTTTTGAATTGCCCCCTAAGGGGAAAAAATGGAGTTTTTGACTCCTTATTGCTTGAACCGGCTTTTGTTTATGTTCTTATTCCTGTCGGGGAATGGGTTTATATGTGCGCCTTTCATGCACGTTAGATGGAAAGATATATATTTTTCTTTTTTCTTCGTAGTGATCCACGGGGAATTTTATTGGCTTCCTGGGGATGGAAATTTCTCATTTTCTCCTTTTATAGATTTTTCTTGATGTGCTCTTCTTGGGGATTTTCTTTCGGCTTTTTCATGCAGTGGCCTTTGTTAGAGGATGAAAGGCTTTTCTCTTCTTTCTTTTTGTTGCCCCTTAGTGATTTGGTTGATTTGATTCTGTGCTTTCTTTGATG